CCCGGACTGCTAGGGCTGTTGTGGGCTGAGGGGGTGCTCCTCAAGTGATGGTCGAGGGGCATTTACAGAGGCGCCTCTGCGCCCCTGGCAAAAAAAAAGTGTTCTGCGACCGCTTACTTCGCGTAATGGATGAGCCGCCCCTGCATACATGTGTGTTCTGCCAACTAATTATTTTGGCATAATATAGCCAGCGTTTAAACTTTTAATCCTTGCAACTCACCCTGCCCAATTACTATGATTTTATATTGCTTATACTGTTTTTGTATTTTATTTTATTTCATTATATTTTACTGCTTGTATTTTATGTCGTATACTTGCTCTGCTGTAGTGTTGGGCTTGGCCTCATGTCCCCTTGGGGAGATGGTGGTGGGGTATAAATAAAGTATTATTATTATTATTATTATTATTATTATTACCCATTTTACTCTTCTTGGTGTGATTTCTCTGCCACCTGAAATGCAACTATGAACTACTGTAGTTGATAAGACTGCCAGCTCTGATTATTATTCGATCATGGTATCTTTCTGGGATGACTTTCCGGGATGGACCTTGGGGGCACGGCTTTGTCATGGCTCCGGTCCTTCCTGGAGGGTCATTCCCAGAAGGTGAAGCTGGGAGACGCCTGCTCTGACCCCTGGCCTTTGACCTGTAGGGTCCCGCAAGGTTCCATTCTGTCTCCCATGCTTTTCAACATCTACATGAAACTGCTGGGAGAGGTCATCCGGAGTTTTGGAGTTGGGTGCCATCTCTATGCAGATGACACACAACTCTACTACTCTTTTCCACCTAATTCCAAGGAAGCCCCTCGGGTGCTGGACGAGTGCCTGGCCACTGTGGCTGTCTGGATGAGGAGGAACAAGCTGAAGATTAATCCCGACGAGACAGAAGTCCTCCTGGTAGATCGTAAACCGGACCGAGGTATAGGGTGGCAACCTGTGCTGGACGGGGTTGCACTCCCCCTGAAGCCACAGGTCCGCAGTTTGGGTGTCCTCCTGGACTCATCACTTACGCTTGAGGCTCAAGCATCGGCGGTGGCCAGGAGGGCCTTTGCACAACTAAGACTCGTGTGCCAGCTGCGACTGTACCTCGTGAAGGCGGATCTGGCCAAAGTGGTCCATGTCTTAGTCACCTCTGGATTGGATTACTGCAATGCACTCTACGTGGGGCTGTGCTTGAAAAGGGCTCGGAATTTCCAGATGGTCCAACGAGCGGCAGCCAGTTTGCTAACTGGTGCTCCTTACAGGGAGCGGTCATTCCTCCTGTTCAAGGAGCTCCACTGGCTGCCATTCATTTTCCGGACCCAATTCAAGGTGTGGGTTCTTACCTACAAAGCCCTGAACTGTTTTTAACATGCCTAACTTTGTGACCGCATTTCTCTTCGATCATCTGGAGATGCCCTGCTCACGCTCCCACCTGCATTGCAAGCATGATTGGTGGGGACGAGAGAGAGAGGGCCTTCTCAGTGGTGTCCCGTGGACTCTGGAACTCACTCTCTAAGGACATCAGGCATGCCCCATCTCTGGCAATCTTCAGGCAGGCTTGAAAACGTGGTTGTTCCAGTGTGCCTTCCCAGAATAATGAATCCTCGGGACTTTGTCCTCTAAAGCACTTTATATCTATCTAGGTCTGTTCGTATGTCCTCACCACGCCCCACTTCCTTATCTCGTCCAAGACCAGTATCATTTTAAATTTTTAATTACATTTGGCCCAGCCATAGATTTTAAAGTGTTTTGTACTATTGTCAATGCTTATGTTATGGTCTATGTGATTTATTTTTAAATGCATGTATTGTCATTGTTATTGCTTGTATTGTTGTATTGTGGGCTTGGCCTCATGTAAGCTGCACCGAGTCCCATGGGGAGATGGTAGCGGAGTATAAATAAAGTATTATTATTATTATTATTATTATTATTATTATTATTATTCTGACTTATCACCTTGTTGCCTTGTTTTTTTTACTCGGGTTCTATTTTGAAATGGTCATATGACTGATCAAATAAATA